ATTATGATACGCCATTTTCTTTTATGAATCCTTTTTATACACTAAACACGTGTTCATTTTCTTAATGGTGAAACGAGCATTTGTTCAGGTCTTTTATTGGATTTTTGATATTTTTACGCTATTATGAAGAAAAAAAGTTTCTCAGCAGCGACAGCAACGTTATTTTTGCAGCCTTTACAGTAACCACCCTCATCTACCTCATCATTTTTATTACACTTTCTAACATATTCAGGCAACAATACCGTATAAATGTTCATTAATGTGAGTGTTTCTTCAACCATCCCAGTTTTAGGATCCTCATTACGTCCTCTGGTTCAGTCTATTAACACGATCAATTATTCAAATGAAACACCACTCTTTTCCCAGTGATTATGGCGGGTAACCATCCCTCTTGAGCGCGTCCAATGTTTTAAAATTATTATGTTTGTTACTCTCTCCGTTCTCTATACACCAGTCACGTTGTATATTCGCCCACTAGTGCTGAAAACCTGGATATCTTTGACACTGGCGTTAGTCAGGATAATTGCTTGACCGCGGTCCGCGTGTGCTTTTTATGGCCGGTGTCTAACGAGAATACTGCCAACTCCTTTGTTGAATGACCGCATTCCCATTGGCTTAATTTTTATGGCCGAAGACTGCCATTGTGAGAAGGTCAACTGACGGATCGTATTCCTCACTCGGGTGCATTTATAGCCTTTTTACACATCTGAGGAGAAGGCCAATATATATATTGATGGATCATTTACATTTTTCGAGCAATGATCTTGATCCATGAAATAGTTCTTTCTTTGGCAATTATTTGAATTTGGTATATAAAAGTTTATTTTCTGGCTCATTGAAATCTCTATGGAACATATGAATCATTTCCAATGATTCCAGGTTATAATAGTAGACTATATTAAGTTTGGAGTTCAACGTAAATGTCACATTTTCTGTTTTTATATTTTATTGACTGGAGCAACATCGACGGAAGATCGATATTATTACAAATTCTTTTAGTATGTAGGATCAGAATTAAGCTGGATTAGAATTATCAGGTTATCCCATAAGTTCTGTCTTTATAAAGAAAACAAGTGACCGAATGTTACATTTAATTACAGATTCAATCAACAATGTATTTTCCCTGATCATCTATGACTTCCTTCCATCTATTAACAAGCTTACTAATTGCATTACTTTAAAATTCTTTTGGCTTTGATTCGAAGAACTCACAAATGTCAGTTTTAACCTCTTCCTGTGTTACAAAAGCCGTTTCTTCCAAATGATTCTGTAAGCTACGAAACAAATTGTAATCTGAAGGAGCAAGATCAGGAGAATAAGGTGGATGAGGAATTTTCTCCCAACCAAGTTTTCGATCTTTTGTGACGTGATTCTTGCTGTGTGGGGTCGCGCATTTTCCTGATGAAACATCACTCCTTTTCGATTCACTAGAACAGGTTTTTTTTTCCTCAAAGTTTGGTTCAAACACTCTAACTGCTGACACAATATTTGAGCATTAAATGTTGCATTAGGTGGTAAGAATTAAAAGTGGATTATTCCTTGGCGATCCCACCAGATTGAAAGAAAACATTTTTTGCCCATGAAGTTCCCTTCTCGGCTGTGGCTGAGGTCCTTCCACTTTACCAAGCCACTGTCTACGACACTTAACATTTCGATAAAAGATCCATTTTTCGTCGCCAGTCACAAGTCTATCCAAAAAAGGTGAAACAAGTTAGCGAGAATCGAGAAAAGAGCAGATGTCAACTCGGGATTTGAGGTTGTTTTCAGACAATTCATGAGGCACCGATTTTCCAAGTTTAGGAACTATTCGAAGTTGTTGAAGATGACGATAATCAGTTGTATGGTTTGAACTGAGAACCACTGCCAATTCCTCAACTGATAAAGCAGGATTTTCTTCAAGGGCTGATTCAAGAACGTCCTGTTCGATCTTCATCTTCAAGGGTGAAATCTCCACCTCTGAATTTTGCAAACCATCTTCTGCAAGTTCTTTCATTCACACATTCCTCTCCATAAACCGAGTGAATGTTTCTAACCGCTTCGGCTGCTGAGTTTCCTTTCTTGAACTCATAAAGCATTATGTGCCTCAAATGATTCTTGGTTACTTCTATGTTAGCAGGGTTTTAATCAAACAAAATTTAATTTCATTGTTCTATGAAATACAATTTGATCAGTTTAAATGCATCTAAACATAAAAATAATGTTCAACTCAATTAGACATTATACAATACTCTTTAAATTTCGTTCATTTTAACAAAATGTTAAAATTCGGACAGAACTTATGGGATGACCTGATACATGCTGAATGATTTAAAAAAAAAAAAGCTTCATTGTCTGTTTACCTTGGTCATGTAAGCAACATGTTCTACCTCACGCAACACAAGCGGCCTGCAAGCACAACGTGTGATGGGTAAATTGTCGCCATTTTTATTTTTAATTTGGCGCATTTTTATTACGTCAAAATTGTCAAGAAAATTAAAATTCGTCATTAAATGAGCCACGAGTTGCTGATGTGGCATTAAATAAACAAATCAAATCAAATCTCCCAAGTCAATTAAATTTCGTCATTAAATGACCCATAAGGTGTAGACTGGCCATTAAACAAACAAATAAAATCTAATCAAATCATATCAAGATGGTGATGTTCCTCAAAAGTTATGAAGGAAACTCTCATTTATGATAGAAATAGGGCTAAGTAAGAGTGAAGTTGAAATTTCAACAGAAAGTTGGATTGGCTGTTCTTGCAGTGAATGTTTCTGTATCTGTCTATATTTCTGAGATGAGGTATTATATACACTATTTACATTATTCGAACTATTGTCCTCATCTTTGTCGCCATATTTATTTCAATGTTTCGGCCGTTGTACACTCCGGCCTTCTTCAGTTGTTTAGAATGTCGAACTGTACCTTTTTATTTCGCTCACTGGGGTAGACTGCTTTAGTTCCACGTTCCATTTTTAATAGATGTCAGTTATCAGTTATCTCTTGTTAATTTCCCTCTGCAATTTCTCCACTGCCTTAACTGGGTATTGAACTCACACTCTTTGGGTCCTGTCACTGGATCTAACTAACGACTATATCCACTGTGCCATGTGTCCTTCTAATAAATATGGCGACAAAGATGAGGACAATAGTCCGAATAATGTAAATAATGTACCGCTGGTTCTGTATGACGAAGCGGCTGATATTATTATTAGCATGAGGGATGAGGGAAACAGATACTACACTTGGTATTTACTCGTTCACCCACGGTTACTTGATATGGGGCGAGGCCAGGGTAAAGTGGAGAACATAGGCCAAGGCAAAAAAAAAATTGCTCGGTCCTCACAACTAACGTCGCGCTGACTTAGAAATTCCACCGAACTTTACTCTTTGATGCAATGAGGGAGGTGCTGCCTCAGAGTGGGCATCCGCGTGGCCAGACCTCACTCATTTATTTTTTGTGATCTATCCGAAGAATTAGGAGATAACATTGAGTTTGTTAGCCCGAAGACAGATACTACTCTCTAATTCCAACTATATGGACAGGGTCTGGAGAAAAAAAACAAAAAAAAACAATTCGAGTAGCACTGGATATTCGGTCAATGAATGTCGAATGTCATATATTAGGAGAGGACTAATATTATGGGCACCATTAGAAATTAGTAGGATATATACTACTCTTTGAGCTAAGTCCGATAGTCAGGGAATGAATAAAACCGTAACTCAAGTAGCATGGGTTATTCAGTAAATGAATATCGAATGATTCCTCATGCCGAACCGGCTAATATCGGTATACAAGCAGACAAGAACAGATACTACACTTTGTATTTACTCGTCGTCTTACAGTGGCGGATAATAGCACAAGGACGATTCAAATTAAATATCCCAAGCGCGTGCTCACAAGACAAGTTCAAAAATCTCCCGCTTCCCGCAACCAACTTCTCACTGACCTCGATTTTCCACCGATCCTGCCTTTTGGTACATTGATGTAGATGCTACTGCAAGGTTGGTATCCTCCTGGCCAGGAATTCATTTGCTGTGTTCTTGTTGTAGCATACCTACAGACAATAATGAGTATGACTCCATTTACATAAATACAGTAGTAAATACTGTATGTTGGTCTGCAGGTAGATTCGTCTCCAGCTGTGATGGGGAAACACTCTGCCTCCGGGCAGAGAGGATCCCCAGACGAGGCTTTGTCGAAGGCATTCATTCAGAGAAACTGAAAACATTGAATAAAACGAAAAAAAAAAAAAAAAACAGACAGGAAAATAAAAGAGTAAGTAAAAGAAGGAAAGAAAAGAAAAAAAACAGAACGCAAATAAAATTGAGACAATTATTTAATGGCTCAAAGAAAGAAAGAAAGAAAGAAAGAAAGAAACAAACAAACAAACAACCCAGCAAAAAAAAACAAAAACAAAAAATCAAAGAAAAAACAAAAAGGTAGAAGAAAGAAAATAAGGAAACAAAAAAGTTAACAAAGAAAGCAAGAAAGAAATTCAGGAAGAAAGAGAAATAAAGGAAAGAAAAAGAAAAGAAATGAGAAGTAAAATGTTGGAAAGAAAAAAGCGAAGAATAAAAAGAAACAAAATGAAAGAAAAAAAGATAGAAATATACAGAGGAAGTATGGATGAAAGGAAAGAAAGAAAGAAAGAAAAAGAAAGAAAGAAAGAAAGAAAGAAAGAAAAAGAATGAAAACTGAAACAAATGAGGAAAAAATCAAGACAAATAACACGAAACAGAAATATAGAACAAAAAGAAAAATAGAAAACAAAAAAGAAGGAAAAAGTTAGAAAGCCATGAAGAAGTAAAAGAAAGTTAAAAAGAAAGAACAAAGAAGAACAAAAAGAAAGTAAGAAATAATAATAATGTCAATAAATAAATAAATAAATAAATAAAGAAAGAAAGAAAGAAAGAAAGAAAAAAGAAAAAAAAAGAAAGATAAAAAGAAAACCAAAAAAATGAGATGCAAAAACTAAAGACCCAAAGAATTGTGGCTAAAAACTAAAGGATAAAAAAGGTTAGTAAAAGTAATAATGAGAAGAAATAATGAAAGAAAGAAATAAAAGAAAAGCAGAGAGTATGAAATGCAAAAAGGTTGGAAAGAAAAAAGAAAGAAAGGGACGAAGAGTAAAACAATGAGAAAAGTAAGAAAAAAAAAGAGAGGAAAAAAGAAAGAAATCAACGATGAAAAGATAAAAAGGAAAGAAAGCCAAATTAAATGAGGATATAAATAAGAAAAAGAACACCAATAAAAATGAGGATCCAAAAGAAAGAAAAAAAAGGAAAAGGAATAAGAATGAAAACGTTATAAAAAAAGAGAGAAAAAAGTTTAATTTTTTTTTACTAGAAAAGAGTTACAACAGAAATGCAAAAGAAAAAAAAGAGAAAATGAACATGAGTGATAAAGTGAATTAAATATATAGGAATGAATGAACATTGGAATGAATGAATATATAGGAATTAAGGAACATTGGAATGAATGAATATATAGGAATTAAAGAACATTGGAATGAATGAATGTATAGTAATGAATATAGGAATGAATAAGTATATAGGAATGAATATGGGAATCAGTAATTATATAGGAATGAATATAGGAATGAATGAATATATAGTAATGAATGAATATATAGTAATGAATGTTATAGGAATAAATGAATATATTGGAATGGATCAATATATAGGAATGAATGAATATAGAGGAATGAATATAGGAATGAGTGAATATATAGTAATGTATATAGGAATGAATGAATAAATAGTAATGATATAGGAATGAATGATAATATAGAAATATATAGGAATGAATGAATATATACGAATGATTGTTATAGGATTGAATGAATATATATGAATGAATGAATATATAGGAATGGATGAATATTTTAGGAATGAATGAATATAGGAATGTATCAATATATAGGAATGAATGAATATAGGAATAATCATACATCGGAATGAATATAGGAATGATTGAATATAAAGGAATGAATGAACACTGGAATGAATGAATATATTATAATGAATATAGGAATGAAAAAATTATAGGAATGAATATAGGAATGAATGAATATATAGGAATGAATGAATATAGGAATGAATGAATATAGGAATGGTAGATTAGCGTTAAATCAGTTGTAATTAATATAATAATCAGTAAAAAATTAATGAGTTACATACAAATAGAAAGAATAGTTTTTCAGAAGAAAATAAAAAAAATGAAAACACCCGCGCAAATTACTATATTTTCACTCAAAACTGAAAGACAACGAATATATGAAAAATATAGGTTATCTCCCCTTGGTTGATAAGATCCCTGGTCAGGAGAGACGAGACCATTTATCTGGTAATAATGGTTAAGACACAAATGTAGGTGCCAAAGTAATGGACTTTAGACCACCGAGGTGAAAAGACGCGTTTTAGCCTGCTCCGAATTACAGGCGATGATGGGTACGATAAAAACTGAATAGACGTTTTAATGCATCGACAAGCAGACATCGGAAGAAGAGATATGATCAATTTCAGATAAGTGTTTCTATCTATTATGAACAGATTCATGTATTGGATTTCGTTCCCGCTGAACTGAAATTAACTGCTAAAGAAATATGTTTAGCAATTGTCTCTTTTCTTTCTATTTGTATAGATGTAGTGTTTATGTAAACGTTCCATTTAAACTTTCCATTTGCTTTGTCCTTCGTTCCTCTTTTTACGATTCATATGGTGAGTCGCTAATTTTCCCATAAATATAAGTGAAAAGATAAATATACAAATGAAAAGATTTAAAATGAATTGAAAAAAAAAAGACAGAAAAGAAAGAAAATGCATTCCATCAAAGAAAACATAAAAGCGATATTGCAATAAAGAAAGTGCCGAAGATAGGGTGTAGACACGGACTGAGAGTGAAGTTTATTTACGATTACTATTGAACAAGCAGCATTTTTTTTTTTTTTTTTTTTTGATAGCCACCATTGCAAATTCGCTGATTCAGCAGACGATTTTTTTTCATTCCTCAACAAGCCTCCATTTCAATATCATTACATATAAAATAGTCACATTGTGTCGGAGAGACATATGTATTTCTTGTTTCAATTGGTTTAAGATCTACACGTATACGAAAAAGAAAAAAAAACGAAGATAAAATGTTTCTTTTTGTTGGAAAAATGAGATTGTTCTTTTGTCTGTTTTTATTTGGTTTCCTATTTGTTAGTTTACTTTATGTCATTTCGTTTATATTTTTATTCATCTATCTCATTATCGCTATTTCTGTTTCTCAGAAAGTATATTTTAAAATCGAAAAAAATTTTTCCTTTTTTAAAATAATTTTCCCGCTTAGCAAGTAAGATTAGCCTGTTATTTCATATTGGAAACAAAATTTATATATATATATATATATATATACTCTTTACAACTGGAATTAAGATACATTTACTAAATGACCATTTTCACCACGATTTTTGAAACTTTTTCTGGTCTATACACCATAAACAGTTTGAAAAACCCTGCGAATTTTGAAATTAAAGGTGGAAATGGTCATTTACTAATGGTATCTTAATTCCAATTGCAAAGAATATTTGCTCTCTTTAATGATAATAGATATTGAGTACTCTTTTATTGAGTCAGTTTTAACATATTTCGAAGTCTATGTTGTATTAATTGCACTCGCCTTGATTATACCAACGAAATACTATATATATATATATATATATATATATATATATATATATATATATATATATATATAATAAAAGAACAATAAGATATATAATCCGGTGTTCTTATTGATGTTTCCATGAATCTCGTGCAGTTATGAATGTACGAGATTCATGGAAGATTGAAGTTTATAAGCAGTAAATTCGACCTTGCCTACCGAACGCTCCTTTGTGGCCGATTGGTAAGGCACGTCAGCGTAAATGACGGTTCCGTATAGGATGCAGGTTCGAATCCTTTCAAAGGACGAATAATTTCTATGAAAATTTCTCGGGCATTCAGGCCGGTAAATGTTATTTAATACTGTTTATTATAAACAGAGCATTTACTTAAATACTTGTATCTATAAAAAAGAACGTAAAACATAAAAATGTCTTTAATAAATATATATAAACACCATATATTCTTCTGCATAATGCAAGCTATTCTGAAAAAAAAATTAAAAGCAAAATGTGGAATCGTATTATGCACAAGTACACGTCTTCAGAAAATTCTACTTAGTTTAATATTTTTTTTATTTCAAGCAAGATTGCAAATACCATCAGTTAACAGTCATTCTCCCACCGTAGTTCTGAGTTATCCCCCTAAACGTTCCGCGAAATATTGAAGAAATCGAGAAAAAATACAAGGCATATTTTTCACACTAAAAAAGCGTCATCAGTTGTTGAATAAAAACTTTGTAATAAAGTAAGTTCATATTTGTATGTGAATTAAAAAAAGATCTCTAGTTTTAGTTCATAACATTAACAATTATACCCTTAAAAAAATTTACTAAGTGTGAGATGATATTTTCATTGGCTCCATGTCGTGCCGTTGCATAAAAGGTCTCTGAAACACTGATGTAACGCAATCGAAAATAACTCACAAATTAGGGAAGTGTTGATAACAATCGTTTATAATTTTTTTTCATATGTCGGCAATATTTATTCTTCGGGAATCAGAAGTGTTTTTCGTCTCAATTTTGCTCACAAGATAAATTTTTAATTTTTTTTATTCTTTTTGTAAAGTTTTCTAGGTTCATTCCAAATGAAAGACAGTATTTTTTCTATTGTTTATTAATGTATACAAACAGAAACGTATGATGGATTAATTAATAAATAACATGTATAACCGGGTATATCTTGTTGACATATAACTCCGGGTATAAAAAACAAAATTTTAATGACAATGTATATGTGGGAGAGGGTAACTGTCCGGAACATTGAGTTCTATTTGTATATTATTCTCTTGGGAATATATATATATATATATATATATATATATATATATATATATATATATATAAACTTTAATCTTCCATGAATCTCTCACGTACATTCATATCTGCTCATGGCGTATCAAATGTAAACAAATTACCCTCGGTCCACACAACAATTTTCTTACGTCTGCCGGCAATCTCTGTTCAACCCCCTCTTCCTCTCTGTCTACCCTATCTGGCTTATAATCAGACATATTTAACACAGCAAAAGAAAAACAATCAGAGCAGTAACAATCGAAATTGGGAGATCAACCGAAAATAAAGAGTCCTACCTGACAGACGATTTTCAGCTTGTTCTTCTCAGGTTCTGGGTTGTCCTACTAGAATATCTGGAACCGTATTGTTATAGTTAACCAAAGTCCTTTTTGGTCCCCACTCTAGTCTGTTTCAATTTATGTCCTTGAGACGCCGTGCGCTGTCCTGCTCGAAATTTTTCTGCAACTCCTTCGGCAGCGGCTGATCCAGGGTCATATCCTGGTCACGGCACCAATTGTGACGTCACCCCTTCTGCCCCTCTGCCCCACACTCCGTCTATCCTGCGACGACCAATGTGTCTTGGTATTAGTCGCGGCGCCAAATGTGACGTTCTAACCTTTTGCTGATTCGGATGGGAATCTGGTTAGATTCGATATCAGCCTTGTCGTTCCCAGCTCGCCTCCACCGTCTGGTTTCCGAAGTAACTGCTTTGATTTCTAGTTTAACCTACCCACGTTGTGATTTGATCTTAGGTAGACGAAATCAATCAATCGCCGAGCCGTAATGCAAGTCGTATCCGGACAAGGGTAATACCGCACAAGTATATGTAAAAGAAAATAAAGTAACAACTCGAAAAGTTCAAATGTGTTAAACAAAGAATAACAATATTTTATATCTGGTTGCTGAATACAGGACTGCGTTTTTCTCCCAAACCGCTAATATGGATTCCTGGCACCTTGCGTTTGTTAGGCGAGTCTTAACGTCTTAAGTTGTTGTTTTTTTTAAGAAACTGGTTTTTGGTGTATCTCCAGGTGATATTCGTAAAACTTGTTTTGGTGGTGTGAGTCTAAGCCGTCCTTCAAAAATAAATTGTTCTTGGTTAGAAGTTGAGGTCGTGATTGCGTGGGATCTTAGTCAGCTTTCTGCGAGGCAGGTCTCAGAGCTCACAGCTCAACTGCAACTGCTTGCCTGCCTGTATAACCCCAACTGCCGTCCACTCGCTGCGACTCTGCTTATATGGACGCCGACCAAAACCGGGGTGGGCCTGTCGGGGTCTGAGGTTCCTTGATAATTCTAAATCAGCATTAAGAATTTTCTTTGTTTTCGGTCAGGAAAAATTATTACTTTCCATTTTTGGAAGTCTTTAATTTCTAGTTTAACGGAATCGTCCTCCCAAATTCTT